ACTCCAAAGTTCATTGGGTGGCTGCTTTCTGCCTTTGAGAGGCACTCCCAGCTCAGATGAGTACCAGCACATACTGGCTTGATGCACATTTTCTGCCAATGGAAGAATTCTGTATTGGACTCCCTCAATTGCTTCTAAGAGGTTATCACAGAAACACTAAAACACCTCCACCAGGACAGGCCACTCTTCCTGTCACACAGATGGGGGCACCACATCCTCCCAGGAAAAAGAGCACCAAAAGTGGATGCAGCAAATGTGGAACATCCTCAGCACACCATGCTGCTCCTAACTTCCAAGGAGTGTTGGCAGGTGCAGCAGGGATACTCAAGAGTGCTGTTCCAGGTGTATGCAGGGGGCTCACCTCACACCAGGCAGCACTGAGTGCCACAAATGGCCTGCACCCTGTTAACACACAGGGGAGCTCCCAAGGAGCAGGTGAATGCCACAATGTCCCTGTCACACTGCTCAGCACCTCAGCTTGCACCTAACACGAAAGGCATTGTACATCTTCACTGGCACAAGGACAAGCTGTCAGTCACTGCCTTTCAATGGCCATCTTCCATGAGTTCCTAGGGTAAATAACCTCTCCAAGTTATTTTAGATCTCCAGCTGCTGTTTGATCATATTACAGCTGTAACCCAGTCAACCAGAAGCAGATTATAAACTGAAAGCAGTGCTTGTAGCCTTTTGGACATGAACGGTACCACTGATCTCTCTGTTCAAAATTAGATTATTACAGCTCATGGCAAGATGCACTAAAGGTATCCAGGGCTCCTGCAGGATTGCACAGCTAGCTTGGAAAGCACCATGACCAGCCCATCAACTTCCACATAGACAAACACAGGACCTGCAAAGCCCAAAGCTGCCCAGGCAGCCCCACAGTTGGTCCCAAGGTTTCTAACAAGGTGGAAAGCCAAGTCCTTGTTGTAGACAAAACAGGGCTGGAGGAGTTGAGCTTGCCTGTCCCTGCACCTCAGGTGTTTAACTGTTTGTGGCACAGCACAAAGTGCAGCTAAAGTTCCTGTGGAGGTGGGAAGGGCTGTCCACCATGAGGTTATTGACAATTGCTTACAGATGAACAGAAAATCAATCCCACAGCACTGCAGCTCCTGGGTTACAACACAGTTCCTACTCGTGTAGGGCTGCTGAGCTTAAGCTCTGAAGGGGCAGGAAGCACAGCAAGACTGACTGGGAAGCAGAGCTTACATGGATATTTTTTGTTCAAAAACTCCAATTTCTTCAACTTCTACTTAGGGGGGAGCAGGTTCCTGACAGGACAGCAGTGGGTTTAAACTTCCTTTGTTTGCAATTTAAGTTTAGCCTCCTACAAAACAGAGAACTTGCTTGTAGGGATTAATTAAGTCCATGGAATCTCCAGCATTTAAGATTCTGTGCATGTACTGAGGTTTAACAAATATAAATCAACTGAAGTCAGCCTAGCTTCAAGTGAGAGGCTGAACTAGATTTCTTCCTGAGGTTTCTTTCAACTTAAATTTTTCTTTATGATAGAACTAAAGAGATTGGCACTTGTATTGCACATGGAAGTGTTTAAACAGTGGCATCCAGGGTTTAACAACAATTTACCTGCAGTCTGGACAACTTCAACATCATGTCAGTCATTCATGGCCCTTTTGGAGCCTCAGAGATCAAATGTTTTAAACCACTGACACCACACACCGCCTTGACACTGCCTCAACTAACTTCAACATTGTTGCTACATTTGTAATTCTGACACTAATTCTGCTTTGCTATAAAGTCTCTAAATTTGAAAACCCCCTCTGAGCTACAATGAAAAGTAAGGTTTGTGATGTAAAGTTTATGGAACAGCTCTTCAGTAGGGAAAAACGTATTCCCCACCTACTGCAACAAACACTTCTTAGGCATTCCAGTTGATCAAAACTGAACACTGAGAAACCAATAAATTCGAGAACTGCCAGAAACCTTATCCAGAGCATATACTGACTCACATCATAAAGCACTTTAATCACACATGCCTTTGAAACACACCAGCTCTGAAGAAGCAAGTGCAACGTGTAAGGCAGGACTGTGTAAGGAACCATTTCTACTCGCTGCTGGGTCAAGGTGAAGACCTTCCTGCACCTACAGGAAAGGAACTGCATCCTTCCAGCAACCTCTCCAGTACTTTGAGCCAAGCACTAACACAAACAGCTCCATTTGTGCATTAAAAATAAATGGCTACATTCCTAGAGAAAAAGTGAATTTGAGAAAACTCGCATTTTTAACTTCAGAAAGCACTCTAATGGGTGTTAAATAATGTCCAGCATCATATAAACATCATTATGCTGGGTAAACACTGGGGCACAGGCTGCCTTGCGGGTAGTTGTGAATCTGGCAAGTCAGTGCCTCCTGCCAGCAAGCAGCCTTTCAAAACAAAAGGTGTTTGTTTTGTGGACAACCCCGATAGCTGGCTGCAGGCAATGAAGAACGTGTGAACTTCTCAAAACAAGGAAGGACAAAACTCAGGGCAAGGAAACGCCGATGCACATTAGCTGAAGTAGCCAAGCTGGACTTGAAAAGCAGCACAGGAGTAAGTTCATGTTTGAGGGACTAAACAAGACAGGACAGGTTGTACTGAGATGAAATACAGGAGTTCCTAGCACAGGTGACAACTGAACCCAAATGACACTGTTTCCAAGATAGTGATCAGTATTTCTACAGGAAAACAACATGCAAAGCCTCGCTGAGGAGCAGCAAGGTCGGCGAGCCAGACCCACGTGCAGGTGGCCCCCAGCACTCTGTGCAGCAGCTCCCACCCTGCTCACCTGAGCAGAGTCCAGTTATCGAGCACGGAAGGAACAAAGACACAACAACAGCAACTGCTTTCCTCAGCGCCGGCCTGAGGCCCTCCACGAGCCGAGCACCGACACACAGCCGGGCACAGCCGGGCGAGGGGAACCGAACCACGCACAGCGATACCGAGCGTCACCTCCCCACGTCTGACAATGGCAAGGGGAGCCAGCGCTGCCGGCAGCTCTTCTGCCCGGGAGCTCCCGGGGAGAGCCCAGGGCTGCCCAGCATCCCGGGCCCTGCCCGCCCCTCCGGCGCGGCCCCTGTCAGTGCTGACTCACGGAGAGCAGCAGCGCTCCGGACCCGGGGCTCCAGCCCCGCCGCAGCCCCGCGGGGCGGGCGGGCCCCGGGCGCGCTCATTGTTCGCGGCACGGCGGCCCCCGCCGCGTCCCCTCAGCCAGCGCCGGCCTAGGCCCGCCCGCGCCCCCCACAGGGCCCCGCCTCACCCTTGGCCAGCGCCACGGTGGAGTTCTCGGTGTCGATGGTGTAGAGGATGCCCTCATAGCGGATCTGCGCCTTGGAGATCAGGCTGATCTTGCTGCCGATGTAGGGGGTCCCCGAGCTCATGGCGGCGGCAGAGCCGGGGGAGGGGAAAGGGGGGGGTCCCAGAGCCGCGCGGAGCCGCCGCGCCGCCCACGCGCACTGCGGAGCCGGGACCCCGCCGCGCACGCCTTATATAGGGCGGAGGGAGACGGGCCGGGGGGAGGCGGCGGGGGGCGTGATGCGATACCGCGCATGCGCCGCGCGCTATTGACCAGACGGGAGAGACGGGGTCAGACGGGGAGGGGCGGAGGGGGAACACCCGGGGCCCGCGTCACGTGACCAGCGCGGGCGAGGGTGCCACGTGCGCCGCGGGGCGGGGCGGGGCCAGGAGGGGCGGGGCGGGAGCGCGCGCGCACTTGGCTTCCCGCGCTGTCGCGGCTGAGGGGAGCGCGCGGGGAGGGGCGGGGGGTGGCTGAGGGCTTTCAGTGTCCCCCCTTGTGGCACTGAGGGCGGCTCTGTGACACTGAGGCCGTGCCACTGCCCCTTGTGTGGTACTGCCTCTCAACCGGGTGTCATTGCCCCTTTCCGCTGTCCTAGAGCTGCTGTCACAGCGCAGCTCGGGGAGAAGGAGACCATCGCCTTCCCCTCACGGAACAACCATGGCCGCCTCTGCCCAAGCCCCTTCTCCCTCCAGCAGAGCCGCGGGTGCCCGGCGGGCCCTGCCCTGTGCGGGTCGCCCCGCGCCTTTGTTCTGTGACCCGGCCCGGCTTGGCTCGCCCCGGCGCGGTCACCCCGTGCCAGGCTGCAGCTGGAGGATGGGGCCACTCCGTGCGGCGTCCCTCGGGAGCTCTCCAGCTCCCCGGCCATCTGCGGGTCAATGAGAGACAAGCGGCAACATCTGGCAGCCATGGCCACGGAGGGGAGATCACTCAGCAGCCGGAGGCTGAGGGGATCAGGCAGGGCAGTTGCGTTTCGGGCAGCGGGTCAGAGTGCACGGATCTCGCTAATTTGTGTGACTCGATAAGATTCAAAGGCAGCAGCCGGGGACAATGCAGCGGGAGCCATTGTCTGAGAGCAGGGAGGTTCGCTGGAGCTGCGGGCGCCCATGCCTTGGTTCCATCAGCGATACAACAGCGACACGCGAGAACGCACCCACAGGTTCATCCCCGCGTCCTTGCCCACCATGGCTCGCAGGGCTGTTCTCCCAAGCTGTCTGCCCTGTGACCTTGTGTATTTTATATATGTGCTACTCTTCATGCTGTCTATACAGCCTGAGGAGCAGATCTCCCCTGCCTGAACAGGGCAGATGCTTCCTTTCCACTCGTGCAGTCTTCTCCTTGTTAAATTGTTCTAGCATAGAGTTCCTAAAAAATATAAAGTAAAAAAAAAAATACATATTAATTGGAAAAGCAGTGATTTTGAATAAGAAACTCAGCCCTTAAAGTCAACCTTTTTAGATTTTGAGCTCAGCCTTAAGTATAACTTAGAGAGGGAAAGCAGAGATTCCTTTTTTGCTGCAGTAAACAGTGCCCTTTAGTGGGCAAATTGATGGTTAGAAACTTCCCTAATGAAAAAACACCTCTAGTTCCTCTGTATGAGGAGTGTCTAGTTTTGACTGTAGAAAAGATTAAATGGAGAAATAATAGGGAAAGAAATAATAGAAAAAAAATAGAAGAAATAATAGGGAAAGAAATAATAGAAAAAAAATAGAAAAACTGTTACTGTTTGGGACAGCCACAAAAAAATATTTATAATGAAAAACTTATGTCAATAGTGCAGCCAAAGGTAGAGAAACAGAACTCCCTCTTTTGGTCATCATCTTCCAACTCCACAGTATGTTTAAATTGACAATTCTTATTTCCATTCTTAAAATTTTCTTTAGAAATAGTAAATGGGGCTCCAGGTTTTGCAGCTCAGTTTATTGTTTTCTTTATGCAAACCAAAATGTCACTGGTTCATAAACACCTGTAACTTCCAGTACTTTGTTCCTTATTCAACACAAGGTATTATTATGATTGTTTTATTCCTTCACTTTTTTTTTTTCCTTTTTAAACTAGAGAAGAAAGAGACAGTCACACGTACCAACAGAGTGATGTGGATCCTCCAGGAAGGCTAATTAAAGCAGTGTGGAAAATGAAAACTACACCAAGCTGGCATGACCTGTACACTGGTAAGGAGAGATATGCAAACATACAGAATTTTAGTTATAATCACCATGGCCATAAATCAGCCTGCTTCTGGAAGATACTCTTATTGTAATGAATTTCCTCAATATCTTGTGTTTGACAACAGTCAGAGATAACAAGCCATCAGCAAGAAGAAATATGACACCTGACATTTTAAGTGGCCTGTTAGTATTATTTATTCTGCTAAAAAATACAGTTCCTCATCCACTAAGTGTTGAAAGGAGGAAGCAAAGAGCACCTCTCACTGTGTAAATTCATGACAAGTGTGCTGTCCCAGGCATCCCTCATATGAAGAGGGAACATTTGGCTCTGTATGAAGATGCTGACTGCAGTTCATCATGGCTGTAGGAAGAAATTTGGCAGAGAGGCACCTCCTGATCACAGCAGACACAGGAGTCACACAACAGCCACTTGGACTGCAGGTACCTGTGGTCCTTGGAGAGTGCAGGTAGGGTACAGTCACACCATGGAACTGCAAAGCTGATTATTTACAGCAAAACCTGTGTTGGCAGAACTCAGGAGACTCCCGTGGCAGCTGGAAGGCAACTGGAGGCATTTGAGAGGGTAAGCAGCCTTGTATCTAAGCACATTTCATAGCAGGTAAAACAGAAACCTCTGACTTTCTGCAGTGCTGAGAATTTGTGGGGTCTGTGATGGTGAGAGAGAGCTTTTATGGTGGATGATGGCCACATCCCTGGAAATGTGAGCTGAACTGACTCAGGTGAGTTGTGGCAGAGTTTAGCACAGAGCAGCAGTGGGCAGAACCCCTCTAACAAGCTCCAGCTGCTGGAGGAAGGGAGCCAGGCACTGCCTGCTGAAGCATCACCTCCTGCACCTGGGGACAATGGGATGCCTTTGCAGTTAGTGGCAAAAATAAAAAAAAAATGGAGGAAAGAAAATAAATAAGCATGGAAAATGGAACAGAGATCTGAATTTGGGTGTGGCAAACAAAACAAGTGGTACAAAGGAAGAGAGAAATGTTTGAGCCCTAGAGGAAGAGATGTTAGAGCAGTAATTTCAAAATGAGATTTTGGTGGCTGCAGGGAAGGAGGGGAAAGCCACCAAGTACAGGACACTGTTCTGTAGACATGTGGGGAATGGGCAGCAGAAAAGAGAGCAGGAATGAAGGAGGGACTGAAACAGGATGGAGAAACAGAAAAGATGAGAAGGAAAAAAAGGATCCACTTTTGTAAGTGGATCTACACTACACAAAGAAAAGCTGATGAAGTAGAATAATGAAAAAAACATGTAAATTGAACTGAAGGAAACTAAAATGATGGGAAGAGTGAGGGGTGGAGAATGGAATAAGGAGAACAAACATTGGGAATATTGATAAGTAGAAAAAATAGAAGAATTGGTAACCTGTATTTAGATAATGTGGGCTTTGTCAAGTTCTCAATTTCCCACAATCTAAGTAAAAGAGATACCATGATGTATGAAGAAAATAGTGTTTCATGATATTAGTTTGCCTTACATCTCAGGAAAAAGTGTCTACTTTATAGAAATGAGACTAAAACTCACACTCAGTACTAGACATAAGACTGAGAACTCAGCCCAAAATCCTGCCTGCTCCTGCAGTTCACTTTGTCATTGAAGTTTTGGGGAATGGAGCAGTTAAGGAAGTGCAAGTACCTTTTACACCAAGGCTTTCTGGATCTTGAATGGCAAGATGAAGTTATCCTGGCTGATAGGTAGTGATTTATTCACAGATGTGGAAGCTGGATATAAATTTCAGAGATCCTTTCATGAAGACAGTTAAATGGATAGTGTATGTGATACAAGAAAGGTTGACAAAGCTGAAGTTTGCAGTTGGGTGACAAAAGTTGAAGGATGAAGACTTTTTAAGTCAGACACATTCTAAAAAAGGCATTTTTGCATCTATCTCCCATTGAAAAGAGTAAGAGGATTCAGACCTAAGTTTAGAAATAATTAGGGCATAAAGAGATAGAGTTGTCTGTCTGGGAGAGGGGGGAGAACTGAACAGTGCCTAAGATACTAAGCTCCATTAGGAGAAGTTTCTGACTGGGTTTTTTGCTGCATAGGCTGCTTTTCTTTGGGATGTGTTGCACTGAAGTGAATGGCAAACCTCTGTGTATCCTCACAGATGCACTGATGAGGGCATGGGATAAAAGTGGGATTTCATAAAGTTCTTCCAGGCATGAAGTGAGCAAAAGGTGGACTGAAGACACACTGCAATGAAAGAAAAAAAATAAAGGAAGTAATACATGGAGAAAGAAAGCAAAAAAATGGCTTTTAGGGATGAAATTCTGCAGAGGAGGGGAAGATTTTGTAAAGGTTCACATTTATGCATTAATTGGGAGAATTAGAATCTGTGTATTGAGCTTCATGCCCAACTTTCTGAGAGGTTCAAGAGCTGCAGTGATAACCAACGATTAAATCCACTTCTGGGCTGAAGAGAGCCCAAGCTACAACCAGTCACAACTGACCTACTTGGTACAGCAGAGACACCTGACAGTGTCTCAGAGGAGAAACCAAGGAGCAGATGGGAGTACAGCCTGATACATCACTCTGGGACCAGTCTCTTCTGAACAAAATCAAATGGTTTTGAGAGTACAAAACACACTGCAGAGCCCTGGATGTTGCAGACCAGAAAATGTCACCATTCCCTGGACAGAAATCTGGGTTTGGCTAAAATTCCAGAAAGGTTGACAGCAATGTTTCTTTAAGGGCTCCTCCTTCCCTCTCTGGACTTTTCTCTCTCCAAACTCTGGAACACATTCCAGCCATCAGTACTGAGCACTGTTTCTTGGCACTGAGGCTTCAGTGGGGTTGAAGCAAGACCCAGCTGCACAGCTCTTGCTGTGCAAATCAAACCATAGGGCAATAATGTACATCACTGGGCTGAGAACACAGAGGAGAGAGTTCTTTATGAGATGTTTTAGCTCAGAGATCTCATTTGCATTCATTCTTCTCAGCCAAAGAATCTCCCCCTCCTTACCTGGTTTACAAATGGGTTGGAGATTGAGCTTCTTTCTGTTCAGTGAGGTGAGGGATCATTTTACCAGCCTTGGCAGTGTGCTGCTCTTTCCCTGCACAACATCTGCTGCAGCTTTCATGGCTTGAATTGTTCCTGGACTTGTTTTAAAAGTCATGTTTCAGAAATGCCTTTGAGGATATGAATTATTAGTCATTGTTTTATCTTCTAGGGTGTTCTTCATTTATCTTGGTTATTTTCCTTCTTAAAATAAGACTGAAGAGGTTCTGGAGTTGAAAGTTTACAGGTTTTAATTCAGGTTTAGGCTAAAGATACCAAGAATGGTACAGTAATTCATAGCAATAGGATTTTAGTGCAGTTTCAGGAAGTCATTAATTTTTGTACAACAATAAACTGGGATTTAATCTCCTTCTTTGTTCTCCTTACCACTGTAGTATTTGTGTACACACTTTTCACAAACACATGACAACTCTGACATTCACTGTTCCAAAGCCTTTGCATCATTTGTGCCTCATACCTCATTTCTCCATCACTTCATGTATGACAAGGTGTTTGTTTGATATTTAGTGCACTTTTAAACCACAGGGTTTTTTTTCCCTGTAAAGTAACTAAAAAAGAGATTTGGCTTTTCAATTTTTTCATTTCATTCTGATTAATATGTTTAATTGTTTTCCAGAGCACTTCATATTTTCATCTTGGACTCTGTATTTTACTCAGCACTTACTCTGCCTATGACATCCCCTGTGCCAAACTTCCAAAGGCTGTTTGGGACATACAGTTGCTAGTAGGACATTTTGGAGACAAAAGGTTTGTGCAAGTTTAATTTGGAGCGTGAACTGGTCTGAAGAAAGTGACAGCAGCTTTGTTGTACTTGTATGGCATTGGAGGAATACAAGGTAGCCCAAACAAACAAAGGTAGGTAACAATAAGGAAAAACAAAACATCCCTTGGCCCTACATCCAGGTGTGTCATTTCCTTTGAGCTGGAAGTTTTGCCCATCTTGTCTTTTAAGAGATAAAATCTTTCTCTGACTTGCTTCAAAACATGCACTAGTTTCTTCAGGCAACTATGGGAACACATCCCATATTTAACTGAGTTATTAGATTTGTTTGCAGTTTCCAAAATGGGTTTGTTAAAGGAATAGAGGCAATTCCAGAACTCACTCTAATAATGAGAATATATTTTAGGTAGTGTAAAAAAGTAACCTAGAGTCTGGAATTATCTCCTTAACTATTTAGACTGCTGGAGGATCCAGAAAAAAAATAAACTCATCTAATAACCTTTCTAGCTGTGTTTTCATTAAGTCTGAGACAGCTCAATAAGGAAGCTATGGCATGATTTATTTTAATCAGTTATTACAGAGGAGTCATTAAAGAAAAAACAAAACAAAAACTCGGCAAAATCTTCCTTACATACTTTCTGCATTCCAAATCCACAAAAAGTTTAGATAAAATCTCATTTTATTACAACCAAAACAAACCTCCTGTACTGGACTGGTTTCTTTTTTTTTCCTTTCTGTAAATGATGATGTTTTTATACCTCTTCTGTCTACACTGGCTTTCCAATTCAGTGTCTCTTATATCTGTTTTCTTTATAATCTCACTGAGGTTGCTCAGGAATTCTGTTGTCTCCTAAGGCTTGGTAAGAGCATTTGACAGACTGTGAACTAGAAATGGAGTAAGGGAAATAATTTAGCCATTTTTGTCATCTTAAGATGACTTTCAGAACTGCTTGTACACGTGATTATTCTTCCAGTTCAAATGTAAAAGAATCTGGATTTTGCCTTATATATTGAACATGTGCTGAAAGTTTTACCAACTTTACAGCCTGTTAGTTTTATTTGATATTATTGTTGACCTAAAAAGTGTGCATTGAGGCACACACAAAATCTTCTTTTGAAATACTCCTCTATCTTAAAAGAGAAGAACTATGGGGCTATTGAATGATTTAGATAAAGTAAGTCACATTCCCTAGGCATTGTGATATGAAATTCCATAGGACAAATGTTTTCATCTGCAGCAACTGCTGTTTCACAGCTGATGTGGCATTGGCTGTACCTGCTCTTGGCACTGACCAAGAACAAACAGGATGAAGATTCATCTTTGGTTCTTTCACTTATTTTTATTTATGTATTTTTGAAGGCCAGTGACCAGTATGGTAATCAGAACACTGATTACCATAATTGGTCAATTGTTAGATGTGTCCAGCTCTGAATCAAGAGAGGGCAGGAATCCATTACTGGAATATCCATGGTATCATGTACCATTATATTGTCTGAGGATAAACTGTTGATAAAACATCCCTAGAAGGATCATACTTAGCTCACAAAGACTCACAGAAAAATTGAAGCAAACCTGCCAAAGTCACCTTTCTCTAAAAAGAAATATTTCAAACATATTCTAACAAATCCTGACTGTAAAATGTGCAAATTGGATTTCCAGTAATGAGACCCATCAGTAGGCACATTTTCTTGACATATTCTGTCTTGGAAATAGTGATTCAATTTTCCAAAAGTCCTTTAATTTACTTAGAGAGGAAAGCATTTTCATTTTGCCCAGTCAGTTCTAATCATTTGCTAAATTCAAAATATGTGAAATAACTGAAGCTGGTTGTAGTGACCAGAAGGACCTCTAATCTTCTAATAGTATTTTTCTTTTTCCAATGAATCATGTAGGCTCACACAAGAAATTTTTCAGAACAGATAAAAAACACAAATCTTAGTTGACATCTCTGCTGCTTGTCTCTTCCACACACAGAATTCTGGACATTTGCTAGTAATCCCCTTCAGAAGATTTGCTTTAGAAATCTCTGTTAGCTGCTGGGGTGTGTGCTTAGAAACTTTCATTTTCTCCTATGAGTAAAGTTCCTTAAGAATTCCCTTACAGATGAGTCTGGGTATTGATAATTCCTATCTTGGCAGTAACAAGCATGACAAGCCAGATGAAGAGCAGCTGGGAGGGAAAAAGTTTTCCCCAGCTCTTTGATGCTGTAAAGCCTTGCAGGGTTTGGAACAATAATCCTTTATCCCACAGTGGATTCTCCGGGCGTTTTCCTCGGGGTGCCGGATGTGGAGCTGCGTGGACTTTGGAATGCCTCAGGAGAGGCACACATGAATAACTCCTGTGGGAATTGCATGGAGCATGTTCTGGAGGCACAGTCTTCTGTCCCAGAAACACTTAGGAGATTGCCAAGGCAGTTGTGTGCTCAGCTAACATTTTGGTTTGGAAACCAAGCTCACAAGTAACAGACATTTCCTATGTCTTTCCTAATTAACAACTAGGTATTGTTAAATACCTTGGTTTTAAAGAGAGGATATCCCTTAAATTGTCACATAATGTATTTATTTAATAATTTTCTGCTCTACTTCTGGAGTTCCAGTAATTGTTATGCAGATACAAACACTTATTTAAGTGGGTGCTTTTGCCATTTCTCTTCCCTGGCAGCATCATGTGAGGCTTCTGTCCAGAACACTGAATTGCAGCACAGGGCTGGAACTTCTGTGGCTGGCAGAAATAGTCCAGTACCATGAGGACAGACACTGTTCTTCAGTGGAAATGTGGGTGTAGGTAGGTGTAATTATCATAAAAGAAAAAGGGACTGTACTGTTGCTGTCCAAATCTATTGTTCACCTCTTTTTATTTTACAGTGCAAGGGTTAACACATTTTCCTGCAGCATACCATACTTAATAATTAATATTAATCCCTATTAGGAGATACCCTAATTATGAATATTAATCCCTATTAGGAGCATTAGACTTCTTCAGGGATTCACCTAAGGACAACTGAAGTACATGGGATGAGTTGAAGACCAAGACTTTAACAATATTTTGAGATTTCAGGGAGAAGACAGTCAAGAGCATAGACTTCAAGGGACACTGAAGTTGCTTTATTTGCTTACTTGTGCATGTCTGGAGTAAAACTGCATTTTCTCTTAAAGAAAAATACTTAAACCAGGAATATTTTTCCTATAGATTTGCATTCTGGATGCAAATGAAGTCTTGCTGCTTTTGCTGATCCCTTGCTAGTGGAGACTGACACCCGTTTGCAGAAGAATCAGCACACAGATTCCCCAAGGTTACCAATGGGGAACTTCTGCACAGAACTGCATCATCTCCAGCCAAGACTTCATTCCTTTGCTCCCAACACTCTCTACTTTCCAAATTATCCATTGAACTCCTGTGCTCCTCCAAAAGGAAAAAAAAAAAGGAAATGGTGTACAAGGCAGAAAGGTAGGGAGGGATACTGGCTATAAGGTTAGAGCAGCTTTATGAATGAACCCAAAATTTTGGTTTTGCTGAACAATTTCCAGTGGAAACTGACACAAGTGTGAATTTTGCCATCTTATTTCACTGAACTTTTGAAATGAAGGTGTTACTGGTTAAATGCCAACTTTCAGTGTTTCAAATGATCCTGGGTGAGGGGCAGGAAGGAAGAGCAAAAAATCACCCATCAAAACAATAAGTCTTTAATCTATTTATTGATGGGCCTTTAGTCTTCTGATGGTTCAGTTAAGACTAAAACCATCCATAGGCTTCTCTGTTCTGTCCCTTGTCACCTCAATCCATACCTCTGTCAGATGTTTCTGTAATGAGTTCTAGATTGACTTCATTTTTAGAAAACAAACAGAAGGAGAATGGCATTACCTTAACCTGAGACAGTCTCTGTATCATGATCTACATTGTAGATCTAGGGGGGGAATCAAGTATTTTAAATAATAATATATAATAATATAAAGGGAATAATAATACATAATAATATAAAGGAAGGAGGTTAAAGGAACTGACAATTCTCCATTTTTTCTGGATAGCTCCTGCTAGCTTCTGCTCTTTGAGCAGAGAACCCACATGTGCCTGTAATGTTCAAGATCTTTTGATGTAACTGATGGGTGAAATCCACAGCATTCACTGTATATCGAGTTTGACTATTTCTACACCAGCACTAATAATTACCTGTACTCCATTCCTAGAATTCCTGTGCAAGTTTCTCTTTTTGTATCATTTAAAATGGAGTAGTACAGCAGAGAGGAGCTGGAATCCCTGGGCTGAAGAATTCAGTCTAGAAACTTACTTCCAACGTCAAACAAGAGACAGAGTGTATGAAAAGATAAATTATTCAGTAATGGGTCCTACACACTTATAATGCACAAGTTGTAATGAATCTCAGTTGCTCTTGTAATTTTGTAAAGTTGTTTACCTAATATGGTAGATGTGCCATATGGTACACTAAAGAGAGTGTTAGAATGAGGACGTGAAGATTTCGAGGTTTTTATTTCTAGTTTTGTAGGCATCTGTAAACTACATTCAAGCTGTCCTAGAATGAGAGCAGGGCAGGAATGCAGGCTGCTCTGCCCTCCATGCTCACTGCTGCTGCCACCTGATAACATCCTCCATCTCTTCCTCCCCTGTTCCTCGGGCACTGTGGCCCAGCATGGGGCTGTGCCCTGGCTGGATGCCATCAAAGAAAGTCTTTCAGCCACTCTCCACCTTTAGGCTGGCTTAGTTTAAGTCAAGCTTTTTCACCCTTAATAAATTATTTGAGCAGCTGATTAACTCTTCTGCTGGGTAGGGAATGTGCCCAGGCTTCTATTCCAGAGAGTTCTTTGGTATGTTGCTTATAGAATTTCACCATAGCTAAAACTAGCAACGTGCTTGACTGAGGCAGCAGCAAAGAGATTGGGACTGCCCTGCTCAAAGCAGCATTTCTGTCTTGTAAGAAAAGGGTAACATGACCTGAAGTGGTGTCTGCAAAATCACATCTACTTTGCAGCACTGTAATTTGTCAAAAATTGATAAAATGGGAGTTAAAATTCATACAGATGAAAAGGGCAGTTTCTTGTTCACCCTTGAGTTTCAAGTGATGACTGAGAAAAGCATTTAAGTACAAGAATAAAATATTAATATAAAATTCAGAGGATGTAGGCAGTCTCTCGGGGTGATGCCACAGGGGTAAGTGAGCAGAGCTTTGGGAAAGGCTTAACATTGTAATTTTTAGTTATCAGCCAAAGCCTAGTGCAGGTGAGAAGAGAACTTAGAAACTAGAAGAGTAATATCCCTCACTATGAGCTGAACTTCTAGGATTTTTGATTTAAAGGTATTTGCTCTATTCTTTGGGGCCTGTATGTTAAGAGCAAATACACATCAGTTTCTATGGGAATTTTTGGCAAACAGCTTCTCCCTAGCAGGTATATTTGCATATTTGGGGACAGGGTGAGAACTGGACAGTACTTGAGCACTGTTCCCATTGCTCATGGGGTCGACTGTCAAGCAGATCAATTTAATTCATGTTAGAGTACTGCAAGTTTAGTGATCACCACAAATGTGTGATGGGGGAAGAGCTGACACTCACATCTGGGCAACCCTATGTAGAGAAAACTAGGACATATTTAAAGCGCTCTCCTTTTCATAGATAAAAAATGGCACTTGTTCCTCCAGGCAGCAGCTTTCAGGCCAGTCAATTCCCCAGAATCATCAACCAGCAGGTGCTCAGCCCATCCCACTACAACAGAGCTCCAGGCTCTAATGCTGCCCATTCCCAAAACATAACAGCAAAGCTTATTTTAAAATCGTGATATAAGAGGTGCTATTTTAAGCTTGCTACCCCTTAAAACTTGAAAGTTAAGTTAAATCAGGCATTGGAATAAGTTGCCCAGAGAGGTGGTGGAGTCACCACCCCTGCAGGTGTTTAAGAGGCATCTGGAGCTGGTGCTGGGAGATGTGATTTAGTGGTTTAAGGGTTACAGTGGCAGTGCAGTTGGACTTGATCTTAAAGGTCTCTTCCAACCTTGATGACTCTATGATTCTGTTCTGTGAAAGATAAATTGTACCACCTGATAATATTGTTTCAATTGCATCTGGTAATACAGTTTTCTGTGGAAACAGCGCCTGGCAGAAGAGCGCATTTATTGAAAGGCGGGTTGTATTTTTACGTTATTTACTTCCTTTATGATGGTTGCACAACAAGGTCAAAGTGCAGGCGCCTCCTGTAAGCGATCATGTCCACCTGCAGCCGGCGCCGGCCGGGCCGGGCCGCGCTCCGCGCCGAGCGCCGCTGCGCAGCGCGGCTCTCCCCCAAGGGTTAAGCGGCGGCGGGGGTGTAACGCGGGCTGACACACGGGCGGGGATCGCCCCGCCGTGCCGGCTCGCAGCTGCGACTGGACCGTTCAAAATTGCCGTCTCCCTCTCTTTTCCCCCCCGCCTCCCCTCTCCCTCGTCTTCCTTTTCCCTTCCCGGTGCTGGGCTCTCAGCCGGGCGCGCTTTCCCGGAGCTGGCCCCGGCCGTGCTGAGTCAGACCGCGCCCCGCGCCCGCCCCCGCGGCCCGGCCGCACCGAGGGGCTGCAGCCCCCGGCTGGCCCCGCCGGCGGCGGCGGGAGGGAGGCAGGCGCGGGGGCTCCTCCTCGCCCGCTGCCCCCGCCCGGGGCTGGGCGTGTGCCCCGCCCGCCCCGCCGGTGGATCAGTTACACGCAGCTGGCACAGGTGCGGGGCGCCCTTCAGACTCGCGCCGGCGGGGGAGACCCGGACGCAGAGAGCAGCAGGGAAAACATGCAGCCATTTTGGGCCGAGGCAGACAAAGAGCCGCCGGCGGCCGCGGCCGCCCCCGCCGCCCCGCGCGGTTCCCGAACCCCCCGCAGCCGCGGCGCGGCCGCACCGAAGGGCCGCAGCCCCCGCCCGCCCGCGGCCGCCGGGGGGCCGCCGCCGCCGCCCGACTCCCAACTAAGCGTTCGCAGCCATTTGCACGGCCTTTTATAGCGCGGGCGCCGGCCAATCAGCGGCGGGCGGAATCCCTGCCCGGCCGGTGGTGTGCGGGCCGGGCGCTCGCGCGTGCGCTGTTGGGCGGGGGGGCCGAGTGTGAGCGGGGCGGGGGGAGGAGGGAGCCGTGAGAGGGGAGGGGGGGGAGGAGGGAGCCGCTCACAGGAACCCTCCGAAAAAAAGATGGCGGCGGGCTCGGATCTGCTGGATGAGGTTTTCCTGAACACGGAGGTGGATGAGAAGGTGGTGAGCGACCTGGTGGGCTCCCTGGAGTCCCAGCTGGCGGCCTCCGGCCACCACCACCAGCACCACAAGGCGCAGGAGCCCCTAAGGGCCGCTGGGGGGCTGCTAGGGAACCATGTTGTGAGCAGCAGCAGTAGCAGCAGCAGCCCTAGCCCCAGCCCTGGAGGAGTAGTAGTAGGAGGCAATGCTAATGCCCAAACAGAGAGCAGCAGCGGCAGCAAGATGGGACTGAGTGCCCCAGAGATCACAAAAGCAGGTAACGTGGGCAGGGGTGGGGGGCTCTGAGGGAGAGGGGCCCTCCCCTCCCCCCACTCCCCAGCTCCCGCTGCCTCCTTCCCTCACTGCTTTCCCCCCTTTTCCCTCTCTCCTCCTTCTCGTTGTGGCAGGAGCGGGAGTGCAAAGGGTGGTATCGATCATACGGGGGAGAGCCTCCCCTCATCATGCCCCCTCGGTGTGTATCCGCGCCTCTGCTCCCTCCCCTTTATTTTCCCTCCTCGCCCGTGCTTACTCGAGGGTGTTGGATCATGTGTGGGGGCAGCCGCCCCGCAGAAGGAGCCGGCAGTGCCCGTCCGTGACTCTGCCGGTCCCCTCTGCTTTTCCTGCCCTTGTTGCCGGAGTGTAAAAGGGCTCTGTTAATCTCGGGGACTGAAGGAGGCAGAGCCCACCCCCTTGGTCATGGCTGTGCCTCCCATGCCGCCTGTGATTGCTCCCCTTCCCTTTCCAGGGGTGGAGGTTATGGGGGGGATTCCCTCTTGATAATGCCGCCTTAGCTGTCTGTGTAAATGCTCCTTCCCCTCCCCCTTCGCTGTTGCTGAAGTGGAAGGGGGTGTTATTAATCATGACACCTATTTCCTGTAGAGGAGGAAGCGAGGGGGGATTTCAAGGGGAGGAAGTCCCTCAAAATGCTTCCCCCCCATATCTGCCTGCCTTGATATTCCCCCCGCACCCCCTCCCTTGTTCCAGGGGCTTGGAGGGGGCACGGGGACCTCCCATTCCTCCTCTGCCCTCAAGGGGGGGCAGTCACAACGCCGGGTCCCGGCAAGGGGGGGAATTCAGGCCACAACACCCCACCTTGCACAGCGCCTTCTCCCACCCCCGGAGCTGCCTGGGAATATTCCCCCCTTCGTCTTGTGAGCCTTGGAGGGGGGCAGTGTGAAGGCTGGGACCGAGGGCTCGCTGCGTGGGAATGGAGGGAAGCTGTTTTTCAGGGGGATTGAAAGAAATGTCTCCCCAGAATCTCTCTGCAATTCCTCCCCTCCCCCCTTTTTTATTTTTGATTTTGTCTTGCTGAAGTGTAAGAAGATACTACAGACCGTCTGTTATGATTGATGAAGCTCTTCTAGGAGGATCTCCTTGACCCTTATAATGTGCATCTCAGTGTCTGCCTGTCACTATTCTTTTCCCATTTCTGTCTCCTTAGGGCCAGGACCTGGACTGTGTGTGATTGTACTTGTGCTAACACCAGGCCTTATCAAGGGGCATGAGGATTATTCAGGACAAGAAGCTACATCATCTTGTCCCTTCTGAAAACCAGCTTTGCTTTTTATTTATTTATTTATTTAAACTATCTGGGGCTGTGGGAACTTCAGATCCGTTGGAACAAATTCTGCAGCAAGGAAGAGGGGTCTTCTAGAAACCTGCTCCAGGCCTTGCAGTACTTCTTATCTTGCCAGGCTGATGTTTTTCTTTCCTTTCACTTTTCCTATTTTGCTGTTGTTGAGCCTCCTGATCTGACTGACTTACTTTGTAGGAGATGACAGGATTAGAGAATAATGTGTGCTGGGTATAGGGAATATGTCTTAATAATGTGTTTTCCGTGGCCATTTCCCCCCCTTGAAGTTGCAGTCCTGTTTCTAAATGGGATGTCAGGCTCCAGAATGGGGAGGAGGTCTTAGATATCTTCTTATTTCCCTTGGTTCATGTTAAATCTGTTTTCCCTGTTCTGTACTGCAGTGTCAAAAGCAGGGGTGTTACAGTTAATGCTGGGTCTGCCAGTCTTTGGTGGGATATTGGAGGCTTTAAGATAACGCATTCAAAGCCATGTTCAGTTTGTACTCTGTCCTGTTTTCCTGGCTCCAGGCAGGCAGCTTGGGAGATGGAGAAGACCTGGTGATAAGGGAGAACATTCTGTCTTTGCTGGACTTCTCTTCTTGCTCATTCGCTGTGTTTAACCTCGCTGTTGTTTTGCAGGGGCAGGAGGAGTGCAGGGGGGTGTTATTAATCATAACACCAGGTCCCAGACTTCAGCTCTGGATGGAGCCACCACAACGAGCACCAGCACCACCACTGCAGCAGCAGGAGGATCTGAAGTCACTGCTGCTCCAGGGACCCTCAGTCAGGGCAAATCGGTGGTTATCAGCACCATGGCAACTGCCTTGTCCACCAGGAATGGCAAGATCGGGACCACGACGGTGCAGACTTTGAATGGGAGTAACGTGGTGATGAACTCTCACCACACAGGAAGTGCTGCTTTCTCTGGGACTCCTGTGACCGCCAACCCCGCTCCTGCACCTGCTGTCGCCCCTCTCGTTAACAATGGACCCGGATCCGTGGGGAAAGGAAACGCTGTCAATGCTGTTTTACCCTCAGCTTCTAACACTGTCATCCAGACTTCTTTCCTTAACACTGCTGTGTCCTCTGCGTCCTCCTCCTCGCCCACAGTGATCTCCTCGCAGCCGCCCGCCAGCGTCGGCGCCGGGGCGCCCACGGTGACGCTGGTGAGGCCCCCCATCCACACTGCAGGACCCACGGTGGCTGCAGCTGCTGCAGCCACTCAGAACGGGAGCAATACTGTGATCAATTCAACCATCAGTGTGGGGAGTTTTCCTGCTGTTGCCACAGCCACTGTGGGATCTGGAGTTTCCCTCCAGACGTCGCTTGTGAACAGCCAGTCTGGTTCCAGTGTGCCAGCAGCTCCTGCCACGCAGGTCATCAAATCTGAGTCTCCTAAAACTATAGTGCAGGCAGTGTCCCAACAGCAGACGCTGGCTACTGCTGGCCAGCCCAGTACTACAGGGGGTAACATGATTATTGGGCAAACTATGCAAGCTGGGCTCTCCAATGTTGCTCCCAATCCTGGTGGGATACCTCCTGCAGCTCCTGGCACCCCCACAGGAATGGCTAAAGGCACTGCCAACACAGTGGCACAAAGTCTGCCAAGGACTCCAACACCAACTACGAGTGGAATCAGAGCAACTTTGACTCCTACAGTTTTAGCACCTCGTTTGCCTCAGCCACCTCAGAATCCGACTAACATTCAGAATTTTCAATTACCACCAGGTAAGTCAGAGGATTGAGGAGTTTTATTTTGGAAGTGTATATCTTGCAGGGAGGAAGGAATCCAAGTAAGATTCTGTGCCATTGAATTGTGAATTGTGGAAAAGGCATGACATGTAACAATGAGAATGGCCTGGTGTTGAGTAGTAGTAGCATAGTAGCATTCCACTACTTGGTGTTTGATTTTGGGTGACCAGAAAGTCTTTTCAGCAGTAATTGAAAATAATTCTGCCTGGTATCTTTGTTCCAATGGGAGTGTAGATGAAGCTGCAAACTGCCAAAGTGTGACAATGGAACATTATCTAATGAAATGTTGTTATTTCATTAGCACAAGAGACATTTTGAATTTTCAGGTGGTTTTGTCAGTTTGTAACCTTTATGTGCTGCTTGGCTCCCTCCTGTCCCTGCATGCCCCCAGTACCACAGAGCTCTCATGAACAGAGAAGCAGCAGATACAACACATGAAAACTGCCTACTTTGGCTTTAAATACCTTCAAAGTCTGACTTAAAAACTCACAGATTTGAAGCTTATGATCATCTTTTTAGTCACTGGCATTCTGATACAAAGGCAGACTTCCTATGTCCTTACCTCACCCTGTTGTGTCTAGGGCTGCAGCTCTTGTAGTAGCTAGTGTCATGCTTAGTGCTGAGCATCTCTGGACAAGGAATCTAGTCCTGAACTCAATGGATGTGTGAAAAGCAGGATGAGAAGCATTTATTTGCTCAGAATTGTTCTGTCCCTCCATAAATATCCCAGATTTGGAGATTTAATGTTATATATTTGCTGTTATTCTTGAATCAGGCTTGATGCTTGTATCCACTTTGATTTTTAACTGCAAATACTTGTGTGAACCTAGACATTGCTTCATAACAATACATCCAAGGGCTGTATTCTTAGTGCTCACTCTTTTCAGGGCAGTATGCAAAGAACAGCTCATTGAATTTTGCTGCTAACACTGAATGAAATTGGTGATGGTTTTAGTAGGTGGTCTTAGTAAAATACATCTCTTGGAACTCCTGACCAACCTCAGAGCAATGCACCTGTCACATGAAGTAGATCAGGAATTATGTGCTGTGGTGCTAAACTGTGTTTTTGTGTGATATGCTCTCTGTGCTGTGTGATGCCATGTAGTTTGATGAAGTCTGTCAAACATTCTGCATATCCAAGTACTAACTGGTATAAATATTCCTCTTTTTTTTTTCCTGTAAAAGATTATTCCATATATGAGTAATTAGAATGACATGTTGCTAATTTAAAGAATAGCAGTAAAATTCAGGTCTTGAAATTGTGGTGCTTGATTTGAAGCCTGTAAATTGATAGGTTGGAAAAGACTTATTTTGTTTATTGCCATATTGTATCAAAGGATTGATCCATTTTAGTCTAGTGCCATTCATACCTACCATTTTTTGTTAATACCACATTATAAACCTGATTATGAGGGAAAATACTAAAGTGGAATCCAGTGGGACCTTTTTTCAGGTAGCTGATGTTTTCACACTGCCACAGCATCCTGAAATGTGTTACTCCTGGAAGCAGCATTGCCAGTCCTTAAGCAAAATTGGACCATAAATTGTTCCTTTGGAGTTCTTGATAGATCAAAGTAAAACAATACAGGTTCTAAGAACTTGGATTTTTATAAAGCTTTTTTTGTTTTCTGTCCTACACTTAAAGAAATATTTATGACTTCAAAAGAATAAGCATGACATAAAATAAGCAAGTATATATGACTGGATACATAGAGAGTGGAAGCTGAGTTCTTGCATGATAAGACAGGCTTAATATTAAAAAATATTTTTTTAGTGGATCTGATTATTTTTCTTTTACATTGCTTTAGTTTGTTTTTTTATACTTTGCAAAAGTAACCAGCATTGAAAATGCCTTGCAAAAACCATCTCTTTCAAAATCTTAAGAATTGGTGGGTGCTGGGCTCTTCCAAACATCTCTCAGAGCCCAGGTACACTCATAGTGAAAGGAGAATGGGTGGCTGTGCTTGTGAGGTTGTATTTTAAATACAGGTTTTTGGAGGCAGTTTGGTGCTGTGAAGCTGCAGCTGCAGTGCCTGTGGGCTCTGCACCTCTTGCATTCATTGATTGGCATTCACAAGTTTGTTTCTAAAAGTTAACAGTAAGAGTTTCTGTGACAGTGCTTGAAGCAGTTTGAAATCATACACTGCACACACACAGCTTTTCACACCAAGAATTACAAACACTTAGAAAATTCTGATGGAGGGTTTGACCATGACAGCACAGGTTTTACTGTTATTTTCTTATCCAGAATTACTGTTTCTAGCTCTCCAAAATACAGTTACAGTGTCACATGTATGGAAAGCAGAATGTAAAATGTCAGCAGGAGTTAAAAGCTGGGACTCGAAAATTAGAAACCTTACAAGGTTTCAAATGTTTTTTTTTTTTGAAAGACCCTGTGGAAAATAAACTCCATCAATGGTGTTTAAAATATATTACTATTAGAATAATGCTTTGTATTGCATCAAGGCAGTTATGCAGCAAATCTTGACTGACCAAATTGGAGATGTTTGAAGAGCCAGTGGGCCATAATTGTTGTGACCTTACTGGATTTTGGTGTATTTCTTCTCCAAGGAGCTGAGCTATTGTATCTGTGTATTAATGATGGATTTCCACTTTGGCATCTTTGAGGAAGAGGATTGTTGTCCTTACTCTTTTCTTCAGGAGCTTTGTGTTTGGGACTTTGTGCTCCAGTTGGACAGATTTGGGTAATGATGCTCCCACAATAACCTTATTCACACCCTCTTAGAAAAGAGATGGAAATACTGTGAAATAATTTTGTAAGGGGTAGGAACAAAAGTTTACACAATATTGCCTTAAGGATGCAGCACTGCTGAAACTGAGTGGAAATGAATTGAATGAAGCTTGTTGTTTCTGAGTACTTCAGTAATGAGAGATGTGTTATGAACAATCATATGGTAAGAGGTAGAAAATCAGTGAGTTTGTTAAAGTGGTAAGTCAATGTTCCATGGTTAGAGGTGCTCAGAAAAGTATAACTGGGATTATGCACTAAAATTTATCTTTTGCATTGTAAGAATGTGTAAAGTGTTTAGAGGTCATTGCTGACACAGGGTAGGATCACCTTGTAAACTGACAAAATTTGGGTACTTTAAAATAATTTTTAAAAACCCCACCTTGTCCAGCAGTGCTGTAGTACAGGCCCAGCATGTGTGAGTTTGTGCTTACCTAGCACTGCTGTCAGCTTGGGGTTCAAAGATTTGATTTCTCTTCTTGCAAATTTGTGTTGCTACTGTCTTCTCCTTTATCTTTATGTACAAACACCTCATAATAAATTTTTAAGGCATCTGCTTAGAGAAAGGAGCAGATTGGTGAGTGCTGAATATGCAGTGAGAATAGCATAGAGCAGGTAGGTCTGAACAGTTTTCCCCACTAGCTTAGGTGAAATTGAAATCTAGAAACTTTCACTTCCCTCTGTCCCTCTCTTTTCTTTTACCTTCTGAATGACTGTTAGTAGGTATGAAAATTTGGTGGCTAGATCATAAAGACTGGTATTTTCCTGATTAAATATGGTTTGGTGACATGTGGTCCTATTTGAAGATAGCAAATAGGATGGCATGTCATCATGGGTTTGTTTTTACTTTACAGTCATCACCAGGCTTCCCACTAGCAGTGGTGCAGTTCTGCAGCTGTTGTAGAAGGGAATTGTTTTGCCTTGTATCTAAAAATAAAACTTCTTTATTACTTTCCCAAAACTCACTTGGATCTGCCAGTAGCTGATGGTAGGGGATGAGACTACAGATTTCTTTGTTGCTTTCTTTCTGAAGGGCATCTTGTGTGCCTTTTTTGTGGTGAGGGCAGGATGGGCCTTTTGTAGATGAGAAAGTGCTGTTAAAGAGGCCCCTGAACAGTGGGGATGTTCCAGAGTTCTGAGCTCCAGCACTGGTTAAAACTTAGCATTGATGCTTCCCAGGAGCAAAGGATTCCTGAAGGAGCATCAGGGCTCTGCATCTGCACAGATGGGAGATGAATGTGACACAACATGAATGTGCACACCCAAGGGTTTCCTCATGGCCTTAGAGGCTCAAAACTTCATTTGGTATTAAATTTGTCCCTTTTTTGTAGAAATATATTGGTTTTTAGCTTGTGAATCCTATCCAAGAAGGATTCTTACTCAGGCCATGGTTGTGGTGGCTTTTGGATGGGAAAACTGCCTGAATAATTTAAAGCATGGCTTTGGGTCCTTCTGACTTTCAGGACTGGAGTAACTGAAAAATAACTTCTGCAGGAGTAATTCCATTTCCTTCAGTTGGGAGTTGGGGTAGTAGGTGGTTGGGCAAAGGAGAGTGGATAAAAATGTAGAAGGGTGGAAACTGAGAAGAATCAAAGCGAGCAATTTCTGTAACTTTTTCATACTGAGTGCCTCATTCTTTGGGTTGCTTTGTACTTGAAACCTGTACCTGAGCAGTCCCTGAAGGAATTAGGATGTGGATAGATGAGGAAATCATCAGAACCCCATAAAATAAGGAACACAGAAAGGAACAGGGGAAATACTATGAAGTAGTGGAATGTGGTTGTTTCTATTTCTCACTGACTATAAGCGAGTTCAAACATATCCTCATTACAGTTCCCTGTATGTTGCATGTGCTGCCAATATTATGCCTGTTAAGTGTGTTGGCATGGCTCGATTTTGTTAAAAATAATGTCTGCACTGCACCATGACAATGGGGGTTTCTTAGAGAACTTCCAGTATGTTTTACTTGCAAAGCATTTTACAAAATGTTTTAATCCTTGCAACCTGCCTGTGTGGCTGCTAAATGCAGTAGTATAAACTCTGCTTTAGAGCTGGGGGAAAGAGCAAGTTAGAGAAGTTCTGACTTGCCCAAGGCCATGCAGGAATCAATATTTTGCCAGGATTAGAGCTTGGGAGTCCTGTACTTGGCTTGTAAAGCAGTATTTGTCTTTCTGGAAGATGACCATGGATCTCTTCTGGGTGCAGGGTGGATTTTATGTTCAAATCA